TTTAGCAGTACTTTGAGCAGTATTTTAGCAGTACTTTGAGCAGTACTGACCGTACAGAGCAGGACTCCCCCCTGAGACACTGAGAACTGCTGGAACACGTCAGATCGCTCCTGGTGGAGAAAACAAACACACCTCAGACAGGTGAGCGGCAGCAGAGCGATGACCGGTGGGATAAAGATGGCGGCGTTACCTCCTGTTTCATGTTGCCATGGAGACGCAGGAAGCCGAGCGGGGGCTTGTGATTGGTCGAGGGCCCGGCGAGGACGGCGGTGAACAGCGAGTGCAGGAACTCGACGGCTTCGCAGCTCGACACGAACACGATCAGTTTGTTGTTCTGAGAAAACTGACACAGCAGCCGACTGTCAGGTCACCATGGCAACGCCTCACGCAACCAATCAGCTGTCACGTGGTTCTGTTCTTACTTTGCATTTGTCCAGGATGAAGGCGGCCAGACAGACCAGTCGGACCTTACTGGGAACCAGAACCACAAACTGCCGCAGAGCCTCCGGCACGGCGAAGCTCTCTGATTGGCTGCTGTCTGAGGCTGAGGCGGTGAGGTCAGAGGAGGCGGGGCCAGACACGTGGATGTTGATTGGGTCGTTTAAACACACATCTGCTAACCGGGTCACACCTGAAACACAGTGAGACACTACAGAACTGAACCGGAACCCAACTTCTCACACAGTTGAATGAGTTTTACGGTAAAACACAAACAGCAGCAGTCTGATGCCGTGTCTGTCTCCTGTACGCTGTCATGGGCCTCGTTTTGGACCTTTTCTATTTGGTTTTGTTGTTCTGTATCTGGCTCTGGTCCTTCTGTGTCTCCTGTCTTTAATTTTATGTCCCGTTTTCATTATTTTTTTTCAGAATCAGAGTCAGGTTTGATGGCCAAGTGCGTACACAACATACAAGGAAGTTGGATCTGGTTGTTGGTGTCGCCCCGGGAATGAGCAACAGGAACATAAAACATAAAGTAAAATAACTACAGAAAGGAGAAAAAAAACATATATACATATATATATATGTACACATATACAGCAGTCTGCAGTGTGACGGCTGAGAACGGCTCAGCTGTTCGGTGGAGTCACGGCCGTGAGATAAAAGCT